GGGGGGCTCCTGATGCAGGGGATAAGGCTTGGCAGGGTGGAGGTTTGGGGGGGGAGGCTCGGTGGGGGGTTCTGGAAGCCAGGGGTATAGAGGGAGCTCAGTGGGGTGTGCAGGGAGCTGCTCTCCCTGTCTGCCCAACCCCATGCATCCAGACCCTCCTGCATCCACCCCACCACCACTGAGCCGCACCACCTGGAACCCCCACCCTGAGCCTCATCCCCCACACACACACCTAGATCCCCCTGCCAAGCCCCCCGCACCCTCCGTGGTGAAGAACTCCCTGCAGCCAGGGGAAGTTTCTGGGGCTTGATCTGACCCAACTCTGGTTGCTGCTCCATGCAGGGAAGAGGGAGGGGGAACTCTCTCTCCATCCTCCTCCCCTCTCCCTGCCCAGATGGGACTAACATCCCTGAGCAGACAGAGCATCATAAGAACATTAAAATGGCCATACTGGGTCAGGCCAAAGGTCCATCTAGCCCAGTATCCTGTCTTCCGACAGTGGCCAATGCCAGGTTCCCCAGAGGGAATGAACAGAATAGGTAATCATCAAGTGATCAATTACCTGGCACTCATTCCCAGCTTCTGGCAAACAGAGGCTAGGGACACCATCCCAGCTTATCTTGGATAATAGCCATCGATGGACATATCCTCCATGAATTTATCTAATACTTTTTTGAATCCTGTTATAGTCTTGGCCTTCACAACATCCTCTGGCAAAGAGTTCCCCAGGTTTACTGTGTGCTGTGTGAAGAAATACTTCCTTTTGTTTGTTTTAAACCTGCTGCCTATTAATTTCATTGGGTGACTCCTAGTTCTTGTATTATGAAAAGGAGTAAATAGCACTTTCTTATTTACTTTCTCCACACCAGCCATGATTTTATAGCCCTCTATCATATCCCCCCTTAGTCATTTCTTTTCCAAGCTGAAAAATCCCAGTCTTATTAATCTCTCCTCATACGGAAGCCGTTCCATACCCCTAATAATTTGTGTTGCCCTTTTCTGAACCCTTTCCAATTCCAATATATCTTTTTTTAAATGGGGGTGACCACATATGCATGCAATATTCAAGATGCGGGCATACCATGGAATTATATAGGGGCAATATGTTATTTTCTGTCTTATTATCTATCCCTTAATGATTCCCAACATTCTGTTTGCTTTTTGACTGCTGCTGCATATTGACCCCCTTCCCTCAGTGATTTACCTCTCCCCCTAGGTTCTGGAACAGATGCGTCTGAGCTATCGGGGAGAGGTGAGTGAGTACTGGTGCAGCTTCTCTTTGCTTCCCCACAGAAATCATTTTCTGCAAGGAAGCAAAGAAAATCTGCAAGGGGGCATTTTTCTGCTGTGCAGCAATGGCACAGAACTTCCCCAGGTATTTTGAACACTGGGTCCTGCCTTGTCTCAGGCTCAGACCCTCACCCATCCTGGGACCGTGGGTCTGAGCCCTGAGTTATGTGATTTGTGTGTAGCTAGAAGGGGAGTTAGGCTTGTGCCTGCAATTACATGCTGGAAAGGAAGCTAGTTCAGTGTCTCCCCCCACTAACTATTCTAGTTCCAAGCTCCAAACTAGTAGCTACACAGAGGTGAACATGGCTGTAAAATGACCCCAGAGCTTGAGTCACATTAGGGTTCAGAAGAGAAAAAAATGACCAGTGAGGAGACTTGGGGTCGAAGGGGCATTTGAGCAGAATGATTTAATGCAAAGAGGAATAAACACCTGGGGTGAAGTCCTGGCCCATTAAAGACTATTGACTTCAGTGAAGCCAGGATTTCACCCTGGGTAAGTTCCTGGACGCTGCAGGAGAGGGCAGTCTCTGCTGCTTCTCTCTTGGTGCATTTTAGATGTGAAAGTTTTGTTGATTAAAGTTTTAAATGTGGGCTTTTCATATACGAAACTGTATCCAACCTCCATTTGTAAACCGTTATCCATCTGCTGCTGTGGAATAAATGGGACCAGTTGTGAATCCAGGTAACAGCTAGATCACTGTGTAACCCACACACCTCCTGAGTGTGGTGTTCTGTCCCCTCTAGTGGCACCGAGACCACTTTGAAATTAATGAGTCTGCTCTACAGCCTTAGCTAAGGGCCACATGGCTTTTAGCTCATGGAGTAGAGGCTCATACACTCAACTTCAAAGGTCCCAGGTTCGATCCCGCCTGCCGACGATCGGGGTCTGTCGGCGTTACAACTGCTCTGATGTCTAAATTAGCCCATGCAGGAGCTGATCTCTTAGATTCTGATTTTGCAAAATGCTCCATATGGCTGGAGACCTCCACCAGTGCGCAACCCAGTGGAGCTCAGAGCAGATGTCAGGGTCCCCTGAACAGCACAGCTGCAGAATTGAGGCCTAACTGTGAAAATGCTGATGTTCTCCAGTGAGAAGATGGGAGTGGGGTGGGGAAGTTTGTGAAGACACATTTCAAACAGAGGTCATTTTAAAATGCACCAGGCTCGATATGGATTTACTTGCAAATTTAAAAAAAAAAAAAATGAACCCAACCGCCAGAGTAATTGGTTTGAGACTGAGACTGGTGCTCAGCTGTTTCCATCCCTGAGGAAATCTGAAGGGCTGCTGAGCACCTACAACTGCTCTTGAAGTCAATAACAGTTGCAAGTGCTGAGCAGGGCCCTGATCCAAAGCCCATTGAAGTCAGGCCCCACGTGCTCCTCAACTTGCAAGATCAGGCCTAAAAGGATTTAACTCCACTTTCACTACAGAACTCAATACACACTTCAGCATGGATTTGTCAGAAACCACATCTGACTGAATTGTATGGCACAGACTGTGGCTCCTTACTTTTTAAGGAGCTCAGTCTGTTTAGTTTATCCAAGAAAAGTCACAGAAGTCCCGACATGGGGAAGAGATTTCTGATTGGAGTGAGCTCTTTAATCTAGTAGGAAAAGGTAGAATGAGATTCAATTGTTGGAAGCTGAAGCTAGACAAACCCAGATTAGAAATAAGGTGCAATTGTCTGAACAGTGACGGGGACTAACCAACTTACCTAGGGATGGGGGTGGATTCTCCATCACTTGAAATCTTTTAAGACTGGGTATCTTTGTAAAAGAGCTACTCTAGCTCAGACAAGAGTGATGGGCTTAATGCAGAAATTTCTGGGGAAGGTCACTGGCCTGTCTTATACAGCAGGTCAGACCAGTTTATCACAATGCTCTGTGGTCTAGGTCCTTCTGGCCTTGTAATCTACGAACCAGTGAAACTCTATCCAGGCTTTTTGTGAGATTCCAGAACATTTAGTGTGTTTTATTTTATATTTTTGACAGGTTTCAGATTAACAGCCGTGTTAGTCTGTATTCGCAAAAAGAAAAGGAGTACTTGTGGCACCTTAGAGACTAACCAATTTATTTGAGCATGAGCTTTCGTGAGCTACAGCTCACTTCATCGGATGCATACCGTGGAAACTGCAGTAGACATTATATACACACAGAGACCATGAAACAATACCCCCTCCCACCCCACTGTCCTGCTGGTAATAGCTTATCTAAAGTGATCATCAAGTTGGGCCATTTCCAGCACAAATCCAGGTTTTCTCACCCTCCGCCCCCCCACACACAAACTCACTCTCCTGCTGGTAAGTATCACACATTTGCCACTTCCTGTCATCTGTCAGGATCTGATGGGATGAACAGAAATGCTATAGGGAAAACTATTCTTGCAGCATTTCTGAACCCACAGAAATCAATCAGCACTGGAGGATCTCGGGAGAATGTCGCATTTGAGGAGATTTCCAGGCCATTGGCTCACTCTAAAAGGTTTGGCGAGGTTCAGAACATTTGGATGCTTGTCTGAATCAAACCACCACACTTTTGAGCCTTGTTCACCACTTGCTGAAGGTTGGGCTAATAGTCTTGGTCTCCTCAATGGAATCTCAGTTGAGTTAGGTATCTGGTATGCCACCACCCAAATAAATCACCTCTGATCACGTACTCCGTCTGCAGCAAGAAACTCTACACGTTAAAACAGCAGGATAAGACTCCCCAATAAGCTGATGTATCTGATGGTGATGATTCAGCCTAAGCATGTACGTTACTTATTAAGGGCTTACCTGGAAACTTATGCAACATATGGTATGGATTAGTGGCTACTTGCCTAGTGCTATGCTGCTGTTTATTACAGTGGGAAAGAGGGAAAGATGCTTTGCAGTTCATAGAGGAGTTACTACTATTATTATTTATTAGTGGTGGTGATACTGCTGTTAATCCTTTTTTGTCTCTTTGCAGCAAAGGGTGTTTAGAATCATAGAATCATAGAATATCAGGGTTGGAAGGGACCTCAGGAGATCATCTAGTCCAACCCCCTGCTCAAAAGCAGGACCAATCCCCAATTAAATCATCCCAGCCAGGGCTTTGTCAAGCCTGACCTTAAAAACTTCTAAGGAAGGAGATTCAGTTTAGTACTGAATGCAGAGAAGCCTGTGGTCATTCTCATCTCTTCTAGGAGGGAGCTCTATTGTCTAGGTCCAGCTCCTATGAAAACTCTGTCTCCAGCACATGAGTCTTGCTGGTTGCTGTTTTCATTGTTCCCAGGGAATGTAGTTGGTGGCAGAGGGAACGTCTGTTTCTCAGATAGCCAGGAACAATCCCACACGAGGTTCTGAATGTCAGGACACAGACCAGGAACTCTATTCAGTGGGCATGGATCACTCTAGTGGCTTCAGAAGGAGTTACTGGAACCCAGGATCTCTCATGGTCCCACCCTGGATGTTGAAATCCATGTCCTGCTTAGAAGTGCTTCTTACCTTGCAGACGTTCCATTCTGCAGGCTCAACAGAATGGAGGCAGTTTTCCATTATCATGTTCCTCTAGCATCTGGAATGTTAAGTGAATAACATGAAAGACTCTTCTGCTTTCTTAAGCATTTTCTTCTCCTTTCTTTAATCATGCCGAGATTTCCTGTGAATAATGTGAACTGTAATTATCATCTGCAGATCAGTGGATTCGCTGAGCTGTTTCTTAAAAGGATTTTTTTCTGTGAATTTCAGATGACCAAGAACAAAATTATAACCACCTGATACTAAACAGTGCAACCCAGACACCTACAAATGGTAAGAGAAAATGGCACGTATTGTAACTTTCCTCTGACAGCCGGTAACACTTACTGGCATTAAAATTATGTTTAATGTGAATAGAATAGTTCATATGTCAATGAGATATGAATGATTTATTCTATTTGCATTAAACGTAGGACCATATATCTAATAATGGACACGTTTAAATATGGCCCGATCTCATAGCTTCAATTAAATACCAGCTTTGTGTTTCCTCCTGTCTGGAAGCTCTGTATTCATTTCCATGTCCACCATCGGCTGTCGCAGATCCTGCTGCCTGGGACAGCACCAGAGAGAAGCCCCTCCTGTACCCTCGCCAGCAAGCAGATGACATCATTTCACAATTGCTAAGATAGGCTAGGAATGCATATTAAACACAGGGAAACTAGGGCCTGAACCAGCAGGCTGTTGGTGTCACATGAGGGCGGGGGGGGGGGGGGGTTGAGATTGAGTTCAGAGTGCTCCTAAACTGACCAGACCCTTAGGGCCCAGGGATGTGCAGACACCTGCCCTTGTGTCACTTGCCAGTATCCCCTCTAGTTTCTCTCTTCAGGCCCCCAGGCTGGGAGCACTTCCAAGGCAGCATGCTCAGCCCCTACAGCAGGGATGGCCTCACCTCACTCTGCAGTGGCCAGCACCAGAAGTGGTACTGACGGGAGTTCGTGGCTATTGGGGTTGGGGGGTCCCTGTGATGTGGAGTCACTGAGGGAGCAGGGAAGAAATGGAGAGAAAGTCAGGGGATCCAGAAACACTCTCTTTTTCTCACCCTGCACAAAGAGGAGAGCCTGTTTCCATGCTTTGCTCTTTGCTACTCTTCCAGCCATCTGAAAACTGGGCACTTCACCAGCTGTAGGAATGAAAAGGCAACAAACAGCAGCGATCACTCACCTTGTACCTCTGCTGACTCATCTCCACAACCCTAGAACTGACCCCTCTGTAGATGGTCTGGGTAGCTTATCACCCCATGGCTGTATAAAACGTACTGTCACCTCTGATATAGGCCTAGTGTTGCCCTTCCAGTGTATCTACGAAGCTTCCCTTGATTCAGTCTTCCATCAATTTGGACAGCCCTTCAGGGGCTCCCTTTGATAGCCTTTCCTCAATGAGCTCTGGAATTTCCTTTCTCTCTGCTGTCTGTGTCTTTCAGTACCTTTAGTGGCCCTTTCCTGTCCAACAATGTGTCCTCTTGGCCAAGTAAACTGTGGTTTCATCTCAGCTTCCTTCAGTAAACTGTCTCAGTGGCCAAAGTGCTTCTCTTGGGGAGGCACAGCGTCCTCAACCTCTGCTCATACTTCCTCTTTGAGTCAGAGCTTCCACGTGATTCCATTGTTCATAACCTGCATCATCCAAATGGTGTCCATGTCCCTATATCCACAGCTCTGCCTGTCCGTGCCAGGGCCTCACCTCCACCTCTGCTGAAAACCCCTTTTGTTTATTCATCTCCTCTCACCTCATCTACTGCAGCTCCCTTCTCCCTCTGTCTTCTCAAGCCCCAGCTCCCTAGACTCCAGCATGTGCAGAATGCTGCTGCCTACATTCCCTCAGTACAAAATATTCCAATCAAATCACACCCTGCTGGCGCCCAGTTCACTTCGCCCTCCAGTTCAGAATTATCCTCCCCATTTCCACACGCCTCTCTGGAGTTGTTCCACCTGCTTCCCCTGCTCATTTTGCTCTCTCCTTCCTCATAATCTCTCCGCTTGGGTTGTGAGAAACATCTGCTGTCGGAACCATCCCTCTCATTACACCAGCTTTCCACCTCTGTGTAAATCCCATCTGAATACATATCAGTTCTCCCTTTCCTGTATCTCTGAATTTCTTTCTCTCCTGTTACTGTATGTATTATCTAGCTCTGTAGCTATACCACGTCAGTAAAATATTCTGGGATACATTTATTATGAAAGTTGTCTTGTGTTTGATCTGAAGCTTCCACATCTCCACATCTTAAGAGATGTGTGAGCAACAAGGGTGGTGTCGTGGTGGGAGTCTGCTATAGACCACCAGACCAGGGGGATGAGGTGGACAAGGCTTTCTTCCAGCAACTAATGGAAGTTACTAGATCGTAGGCTCTGGTTCTCATGGGAGACTTCAATCACCCTGATATCTGCTGGGAGAGCAATACAGCGGTGCACAGACAATCTAGGAAGTTTTTGGGAAGTGTAGGGGACAATTTCCTGGTGCAAGTGCTGGAGGAACCAACTAGGGACAGAACTCTTCTTGACCTGCTGCTCACAAACCAGGAAGAATTAGTAGGGGAAGCAAAAGTGAATGGGAACCTGGGAGGCAGTGACCATGAGATGGCCAAGTTCAGGATCCTGACACAAGGAAGAAAGGAGAGCAGCAGAATATGGACCCTGGACTTCAGAAAAGCACACTTTGACTCCCTCAGGTAACTGATGGGCAGGATCCCCTGGGAGAATAACATGAGGGGGAAAGGAGACCAGGAGAGCTGGCTGTATTTTAATGAATCCTTATTGAGGTTACAGGGACAAACCATCCCGATGTGTAGAAAGAATAGTAATTATGGCAGGCGACTAGCTTGGCTTAACAGTGAAATCCTTGCTGATCTTAAACACAAAAAAGAAGCTTACAAGAAGTGGAAGATTGGACAAATGACCAGGGAAGAGTATAAAAATATTGCTCAGGCATGCAGGAGTGAAATCAGGAAGGTCAAATCATATTTGGAGTTGCAGCTAGCAAGAGATGTTAAGAGTAACAAGAAAGGTTTCTTCAGGTATGTTAGCAACAAGAAGAAAGTCAAGGAAAGTGTGGGCCCCTTACTGAATGAGGGAGGCAACCTAGTGACAGAAGATGTGGAAAAAGCTAATGTACTCAGTGCTTTTTTTGCCTCTGTCTTCACGAACAAGGTCAGCTCCCAGACTACTGCACTGGGCAGCACAGCATGGGGAGGAGGTGACCAGCCCTCTGTGGAGAAAGAAGTGGTTCGGGACTAGTTAGAAAAGCTGGATTAGCACAAGTCCATGGCGCCGGATGTGCTGCATCTAAGAGTGCTAAAGGAGTTGGTGGATGTGATTGCAGAGCCATTGGCCATTATCTTTGAAAACTCATGGCCATCGGGGGAGGTCTCGGACAAAAGGAAAAAGGCTAATGTAGTGCCCATCTTTTAAAAAGGGAAGAAGGAGGATCCGGGAACTACAGGCCAGTCAGCCTCACCTCAGTCCCTGGAAAAATCATGGAGCAGGTCCTCAAGGAATCAATTCGGAAGCACTTAGAGGAGGGGAAAGTGATCAGGAACAGTCAGCATGGATTCACCTAGGGCAAGTCATGCCTGACTAATCTAATTGCCTTCTATGGTGAGATAACTGGCTCTGTGGATGAGGGGAAAGCAATGGGCGTGTTATTCTTTGACTTTACCAAAGCTTTTGACATGGTCTCCAACAGTATTCTTGCCAGCAAGTTAAAGAAGTATGGGCTGGATGAATGGACTATAAGGTGGATAGAAAGCTGGCTAGATTGTCAGGCTCAACGGATAGTGATCAATGGCTTCATGTCTAGTTTGCAGCCAGTATCAAGTGGAGTGCTCAAGGGTCAGTCCTGGGGTCGGTTTTGTTCAATATCTTCATTAATGATCTGAAAGATGGCATGGATTGCACCCTCAGCAAGTTTGCGGATGACACTAAACTGGGAGGAGAGGTAGATACGCTGGAGGGTAGGGATAGGATACTGAAGGACCTAGGCAAATTAGAGGATTGGGCCAAAAGAAATCTGATGAGATTCAACAAGAACAACTGCAGAGTTCTGCACTTAGGACGGAAGAATCCCATGCACCGCTACAGATTAGGGACCGAATGGCTAGGCAGCAGTTCTGCAGAAAAGGACGTAGAGGTTACAGTGGACGAGAAGCTGGATATGAGTCAACAGTGTGCCCTTGTTGCCAAGAAGGCCAATGGCATTTTGGGATCTATAAGTAGGGGCATTGCTAGCAGATCGAGGGACGTGATCGTTCCCCTCTATTCGACATTGGTGAGGCCTCATCTGGAGTACTGTGTACAATTTGGACCCCACACTACAAGAAGGATGTGAAAAAATTGGAAAGTGTCCAGCGGAAGGCAACAAAAATGATTAGGAGACTGGAACACATGACTTATGAGGAGAGGCTGAGGGAACTGGGATTGTTTAGTCTGCAGAAGAGAAGAAAGAGGGGGCATTTGATAGCTGCTTTCAACTACCTGAAAGGGGGTTCCAAAGAGGATGGCTCTAGACTGTTCTCAGTGGTAGCAGATGACATAACAAGGAGTAATGGTCTCAAGTTGCAGTGGGGGAGATTTAGGTTGGATATTAGGAAAAACTTTTTCACTAGGAGGGTGGTGAAACACTGGAATGCGTTACCTAGGGAGGTGGTAGAATCTCCTTCCTTTGAAGTTTTTAAGGTCAGGCTTGACAAAGCCCTGGCTGGGATGATTTAGTTGGGGATTGGTCCTGCTTTGAGCAGGGTGGTTGGACTAGATGATCTCCTGAGGTCCCTTCCAACCCTGATATTCTATGATTCTAAGAGAGGATGGGAGAATAATTTGTCTTGAAAAAGTTACCTTGAACCTTTGTTTGGCCCACTCCTATTCCAGAAAGGCAGTAGCCACTTCATCATTCAGGTTACAGGTAATTTTCCATTATTAGTCTAAATTTTATCCTGTCCTCCAAAAACCGCAAAGAAGTGATGTCAATTTCAAAATTTGGTAGGTTAGATCCAGCAGCAAGATGGACTATACATATTAAAGCTGAGGTAAATTGGACAAGGAGTTCCTGAATTAATGACACCCTAAAAACATAGGTGTTAACTAGAATTCAAAATCCCAACACATTTTTGTTTTATTTTTTAGCAAAAAAGAGAAATAAGAATAGAAATAAAGGAATAGGGTGAGCACGCAGCATGTCCCCCTCAAAACAGGGGAAACTGGGAGATAAATTGTGACTCTGAGTTCTAATCTGCTTCCAGAGAAACACAAAATCCGCAGCCCTTCATAGTGCTCATGGCAAAG